TGATCCTCTAGCAGTTTTAGTCCCGCTGCAAATGAGAGCTGATGGCATTTGGGCTTGACAATTACCCAATCTCTTGGTTTAACTTTTGTTTATTTCCACATTTCCTGCTCCTGCTCCAATGGCACTGTATGCACACACACATGCACGTGTATACTGAGTTCCCTGGCTGGGATTTGGTGCTCCTCAACCAAACGTAGGCAGAATTTAAACCAGGAACATGACTCAGGACTGTGGCTGCAGACTGAGCCCAGAGAAAGTCCTTAGAAACACTGGGAATCAGGCTGTTTGCCTTGGATCCTCTCCTAATTCCTAGCTAGCCTCTCTGGTCTCAGTTTCCTGAACAACAAAATGGGAATAACCATGCCTATTCTGGCCTATTTCACAGCATCATGCTGGGATCGAATGAGACAATGTATGTGAAGGTCATTTTTCTTCAGACAGTGATGGGACAGGCTAGACAGGCAGCCAGACTGCAAAACTAGGTTCAGCCACTAGAATGGGTAGGCATCCTGATTGCATCAGAAGTTAAAAGCGATCTAGACTCAATTTCAGTTTATGTTGTCCCTCAGCCTGATATCCTTCTACCTTTGCTAAACTCCTATGCATTTTTAAGAACCCAATTCAAATAACATTTCTTTTTTGTTGGTGTCTTCAGAATTAACAATTCCATCTTTACTGCTCCTTTGGCCTTTTGTACATACCTCTAATAGCACTTTTCACTCAATTACAGTAGATATTAACTTATGTACCTGGAAGTTCTTTGAGGGCAAAGACTGTGTATTTTTCATCCTTGTATCCACCTCCCCACCCACTTCCATTGTATGGCCAACACTGGTGCATGACAGGTGTCAACCAATGTTTATGGAATGCGCAAGAACTCAAAAGTCAAGAAGGAGGTAGATGTCAGAGAGATCCAGGAGAGCATAAAAGGTGGGACAGCACACAAACAGTCAGTGGCGGGGATGGCGGGCAAGAAATCCAAGAAGGTAGTGTCACTGGGGTCAGTCCTAGGCAATAAGGGCACAGGTACAGGGATGACAGTCAAAGCTGAACTGCAAGTTCTGGGAAGACCAGACAGGGATTTCATCTTGGAAACACAAAGAATTGAACAGGGAGCAGGAGCATTCTATTGAGGTCCAGAGAATAAGGAACGGCGGCATCATACCAAGTCCTGCAACCTAAACTGGAATAGGAGGGCTTGGGGACAAGAAACAAGGGCAGAGAATAGAGCCAGGGCAAAGAATCGAGCAAGGCTGAAGTGGTACTGAAGACGCCTGGGAACTTATAGGTTAGTTAACATTCTCAGGAGTGCCAAAGTTGAGTTAGCAGCTAGGGATTAGAGACCTTAGCTATGAAACTGGCTTGGAAAGCAGAGAGCTGCTGGGGTATACATCTGCAGTCAAGGAGCAAACAAACCTGTTCACACACATACTGCCCTGTCATGTGCATGGTGGGATTAATCCAGATCACTGTACTACCCACTCTGGAATTTTCCAGGAGTGCCTAGAGAGGCCCAATATCTAAGGTAAAACTGACAGCGAATGAAACAGAAGTTTTTACCACTGTAAGAACATTAAAGGAAGGCCTGCAAGGTCTAAAATCTCAAATAAAGTGTTTCTCCAGTTACAGAGGAGACATGGCTCAGAAGAAAAGAATTGAGACACTTAGGGAATTTACAGACCCTTATTCCCAGACTTCAAGCACGCAGCAAAGGGATCCACCTAGGAAAGGGCACATAGAAAAAAGGACCTCAATTTTAGTTTATCTGTAGAGTATGTGACCTTCTTCAAGCACTTCAAGTTAAAGACCCAGGCTCACTGTTTACCTATTGTGTGATCAGTAGGGGCCAGCTGAGTTTACCCATTCCTAGCCTTAGTCTCCTTATTCATAATGCAGCAATTGTGACACCTGCACATAGGTTTATCATGAAGACAAAATAATATCTGCAAAGCATTTAGCATATTGGCCTATAATAAGCACTAACTAACTTTGTGTTTCTTTGCTTTCTTTGGTTCCCAGGAAGGGATGGTTATACCACAGTCTAGCTGTCTACCTGTGTTCTCCTCTCCTGTTTGGCTGTCCTTCTGGACCCTTCTGTGCAGACATCCTATCTGAGACACCAGACAATTCACTCCTCCTCTTGCTTATCCCTTGGACATTAAAGGCAATTAAGAAGAATTAAAGGCAATTGGTCAGCTATGTGCCACACGCAGGTCCTCAAGGGTCAGGAAACATCAGCCTAGTCCAACACTGTTCCTGTGCCTCCAGGTGTCTCTGCACCTCTCTGGCCAAGCCCATGACCAGGGTAGCACCTAGTTTAGTGTGGCTCTTGTCTTCTCCAAGGTGAACCCACTCCTAGTAGCATATACCTGCCTCCTGGACTGGCTCTCTCTTGGCCTCGAGCAAATATATGCCTAGCAGGCGAGACCTGGATATCCAGGTGACCCCACTCCTAGTAGCATATGGCTGCCTCCTGGACTGGCTCTCTCTTGGCCTCGAGCAAATAAATGCCTAGCAGGCCAGACCTGGATATCCACAGCTGGAGATAATTCCCAGACCCAATTTACCAGAGAGTAAGAGCCTGGAGTCTGAACCTGAAGTGAGACCGAAGAGTCTACACTCCAGCACCCCAGAGACTGGAGCTAGGAAAGAAGGAGCTCTAAAATGAAGCTGCCAGGGGGCTTAGGGCTCAAGCCTACTCCTGATAAGCTACATAAAATTTGTATCAATGTCAGGCTCTTACCCTAAATTTTGCACTGGCCATGTCTATCACAGTGCTGCATACTGTGGCTACCACAAGGCATTAAAAAACTTCAAAGGGTAAGAAGAGAATGGACTCAACAGTTTCTGAGTGCCTACTAAGTCATGAACTTTGCAAGTCATCCTTACCAATACCAATACCTTAGGTATTATGACACAGGGTATACTCATCTTGCCAATAGAACTAGAGACTCAGAAAAATCTAAGAATCCTCTATTCCTCCACTACTGTGCAACCTGACCACAAAGTCTTAAATGATCTGGGAAAGACAAAGAAAAACTAGAGTCTAAAGCACTATTTAACAGGCTCTCAGCACCTTAACTCACTAAGGAGACAATACTAGTTTAAATACTGCATTGCCTTATTTACTACTGGTAGAGCCAACTTCTGCCAAACACAATCTGGAGAAATATATCAAAAGTCATAAAGATGCTCCTGACCTTTGCCCTTGTCATTGCATCCCTAAGATCATATCTTAAGGAAACAGTTCCAGAGATTCACTAGTAGTGAAAAAAAAAGGATGATCTAAATGTCCAATATCTAAAGAATGGTTTGAGAAATCCCAGAACCTTCTAATCATGTAATGTTTACTGTATAGCCATTTTAAATGTTCATTTTAAAGACCAAGAGGGAAAAAAGCAAAGCATCTGTGATAAAATAAAGATTGAAAACAAAACATCATAAATGCTATTGGTACAACTTGTAGAGAAGTATGGACACGTGTATACACAAAAAGGAATGTAGCTGTTTTAGGGTGGTAAGATCATGGAAATCTTCCATAATACTAAGTGGTTTCATTATTATTACATGTAAAATTGTCTTTGTGGTATTGTTTAGTACCTTTTCAACCCAAGAGAAAGAGAGAGAAAAAAAGACAGACACATTTAACCCAGCACTAAGAAAAGGCCCAGGAAGACCAGGGCTGGGATGTGAAAGCAGAAACTGAGAAGCGTCCTACATACCCGGAAGGAGGAGGCCAGGCAGGGCCCTGGGGAAGGGAAGCCCTCTAGGTATGAAGAGGGTTGTCATTAGTCTGATGCTAATTACAGAAGTCTCACTAGCTTATTAATTTTTTTGACAGACTCTGAATGAAGACTGAATTCCTTCATTAAGTCAACTTGGGTTCAGAGGCACATTTCCTGTGTGGCCATCCTCATTCCTCTAAAAAATCTAGCCTTTTCTTTTTTTTAAGGGTAACAGTAAAGTAAAATTTAGTGACAGAAACACACACCCTGGAGAAATTAAGATTCCTGCCTTAAATGTAGAAATTCAAACCACTTCAGAAAATCAAAGGGGTTTGAATAAGCAACTGAACTGCAGTACTTTCTGGACTGGGAAAAATAAACACAAGTATAAAATATTTAGCTCAGTACTAAACGGCCCCTTGATCAGGTTCCAGCCCATCTTTCTGATATTACCTCATAATTGTCCCTCCAGATACCCAATGCTCCCGCCAAACTGAACCACCAAGTGGTCCCCAAAATAGTTTCCTCCCTTTCCTACCCCCATGACTCTGTTCAAGCTGTTGTGCACACTTAAAATTTCTGTCTTACAACTGCTTGCTCAAGTCTGACCCATCCTCTAAAGCACAGATGAAAGCATCAAAGCCTTGTCATTGTCCTGGGTTTTTCTTGGGTTTTTTTGGTTTTTTTTTTTTGAGACAGAGTCTTGCTCTGTCGCCCAGGCTGGAGTGCAATGGTGCAATCTCAGCTCACTGCAACCTCCGCCTCCCAGGTTCAAGCAACTCTCCTGCCTCAGCCTCCCAAGTAGCTGGGACTACAGGCGTGTGCCACCATGCCCAGCTAATTTTTGTATTTTTAGTAGAGATGGGGTTTTACCATGTTAGCCAGCCTAGTCTCGAATTCCTGACATCAGGCAGTTCACCCACCTTGGCCTCTCAAAGTGCTGGGATTACAGGCGTGAGCCACTGTGCCTGGCCAGCCTTGTCATTTTCAAAGCCTAGGCCAATCCCTGTACCCTGAATTCATTTCTTGCTCTTCATAGTAGATCCAAAGTACTTTGAACCTCCAAGGAACTACACAAAGTCTGCCTTGCAGTACAGTTATCTGGGTAACTGACTTTTGACCACATTAAAGCACGAGCTCCTTGGAGCAAGGATCTCTTCAGATTCCTACATGGAACCTATCCATAATGCCTGGCCCACAGTAGGCCCTCAGTAAACGCTTCACTGAAAGACAAGAAAGAGGGACACATTACATCTGTGTGAAGTCACTTCCTACCTCAGTTGCTCCAGTTAAGCAATGCAGAGATGAAGGCATGCTATTCAGTAGTCTTGAACAGGGGACGAATGAATCTTGCTTTTCTAGTTTCCAGCCTTCGTAAGTCTCCAACTTCCTCCCTAGTTGACCATAGTCTGCTCGGCCCCAGGTAAACACCTTGCCAGTTTCTAAAAACAAACATTATTTGAATTAAGACTACATTCCACAGCTGTGCTCCCATGGGTAGGCAATGAATTACAAGAGAAAGTGTGACACTGATTTTACTACCAACTACCAGGAGCCTTCCTATCTTCCTGTAAAGAAGGCACACGCACTCATATTTTTACAGATGTGGAAATGAAGGTTCAGAGAGGTTAAATGACTTGCCCAAGATCAAACAAGCTGTAAGTACCAGAGCTGGATTCAAGCAGATTCATTCTGAAGTTTCTGCTCTTGCATGTTATATCGATATGGATATGACTATGGATATAACTTCAATCATGCTTTATGGCCTTCCATTCCCTCCCTTCCCCACACACTCCTTGTGCTTTGCCCAGATGCCTGCTCTCAGGCTCTCCTCTTCCCCACCCAACCCAGGGCCCATTTAGCCACCTTGAAGTTCTCCACTCCACAATCTCTTAGGGCCTAGCTCAACGAATGGCCAGTTTCATTTGCTTTCCCCTCCTTATAACATAAGGGGACCTTTCGGAATCTATGCTCTTGCCAAAGGAGCAATTCTAACAATCCTAAGGTAAGTGTTTATGTGTGCTAGAGGGAAGGGAGTGAGAGAAGAAAAAAAAAATGGCAAAACCATTTGGAGCCAGAAAAGCATTTAGTCCCCCAGATGCACCACATGGGAAGCGGGCCAGTGCTAAAAATGACAAAAGAAAACGAGATTTGCAAAAGGAGAAATGGACTTTCTTCTCCCAGATAAGAGAAAATTCACCAAATTCATTCAGTTGTACCAAGTGCCACATTTGTTATTTCAACACAAATGCAAAATCTGATGAGGCATAGATTATTAACAGATTCTCTGCAATAAATATGCATAACCATGTGCGTTGTATAAATTCTTTATACATGTTTATTTTAACAAAGAAAAACTTTGCTTTAGAGACAAAACACAGAGCAATGCATATTAAATTCTAGACAAATCTACTACTGCATACTTTGTGTTTGGTATCAAAGCTTCATCTGGCCCCACATTCAACATATGGGTTTATAGTGTCAGCTAAAAAACAACCATAGATTCATGGGGAAATGTCAGAATATTGCAGTGATACAAGGTTCTGCAGGGAAACAGTTCTCAGCATCAGCCTGCTAGCAGACACTAAAGTAGATACCAACAGTTTACAGGAATCTGACTTTGGGCTTCCTCAAAGAGGAAACAAAGTCTGTGTAGCTCACAGGGTATATGGGATACCTTGTATATTATGAGAGCTGGGAGTAGGTCCATTCACACGTACTACTTCATGGCTCTTTGTGTGCTGTTGCTTTTGCTAAGAATGCCTTCTCCTTAACTGGTAAACTATGGCTGCACCTTTGGAGTCCAGCTCATGTACCACTAGTTCTATGAAACCTTTCTTGAATCCCCAGCTCTCCTCAGCAAGGGTGAAAGTCACCCTCCCGTGAGCCACCTTTATCATTGTACTCATCAACTACTATGCTGTCACTTGACAGGTGAAAAAATTAAGGTTCAGATAAGTGACCTGCCCAGGGTCACACAGCTAAGCCACATCTCTTTCTACTAGCCCATGGTATCACTCTGCATTGGTTATTAAGCCCTAGTCACTGCACAATCACTCAACACTCTTCCTTCACTTCTGCAAGATTACTCTTAAAAACCCATGTGCCCAGGACCCATAAGGCATCCAAAACTGGCAAATTGTCCCTCTACTGGAGCTGGCTAGGATTTCTAACCAGATTGCTAAGCAGGAGATTCCCAAGAAGCCAGGGGATGAGACTGTTGCTGCTTAAATGACTATAGCATTCCTCTGCTGGGAAAAACTAGGAAGTTGTTGTCTCTAAGACTACAGAAATAATTTTATCAGAAATCACACATTGAATCCTTTCTTTCACATGAAGTAAAACATCTTAGAGCTTTCCTGTTATTGATTATTGATGTCAAAGACAGTCAAGACTGGCAGAATATGGTGCCACCATTATTATATCCCCGATAGCAATTCAGCCATTCCACTTACATAGCACTTTTCACCTTCAAAGCACTTTACAAAGATTAACTAATTAATCCTCATACTCTCTGGGGAGGCCATAGACATTCTGGTTAAGATAAGTCCAGAAACCAGGCTGACTTAATGTTCAGTCTTCAGTCTCAAGCCTAAATTTAATGCACTCTGAACTTGTCTGTTTCTCCTCAAAACAAACTCTGCATCAGAAGCCTCACCCAGGATAGAAGAGACCCTTTTATTTTTCCTTTTCTTTTAAACAGACATTTACTGACCTCTTCCCAGGTACCCAGTACATTCATTGACATTGTCTCAATCCTCACAATAATGCTGTGGCATACAGAGTATTAAGCTTATTTTACAGATGAGGTTAAATGATGAGAGTTAAATGATTTGGTTGGGTTCAAACAACAACCAAGTAGTTGAATCAAGATTTAAATGTGTGTCTTCTGACTCCAGGGCCAATGGTATCTCCAATGATTGCACAGCTGCTGTCACAGACTGACAAAATTTGGCTGATGAAACAGCCATTTTTACAATGTTTGAGGAAGAGGAAAACCCAGATTAAATGGATATGCTCTGTGTACCATCCAGCTTTCCTCACTAGAATAATCTTCTTCCCAGGAGCCCATGCAGAAATCAGGACTGTAAGTGCTGAAATAAAGGCATTAAACACATGGATGATGATTTTATGTCATCTGGAGTAAAATAAATCCACATATAAAAAATGCTCATTAATACATTGTAGATGAATGTCTGCATCAAGCTGATGCATGCTGTCAAATCCAGGGAGACTCAATCACAAATTTAACAAATGAATCTTTTCCTTAAAGGATTATATATTACTATGATAAAAAAAAATAGATACACTAATGTCATCCAAAAAGTATAGGTATGTGTCTCCAGGTAAATGATAAATTAGAGAGATGACAAAATAGCTCAAAACAAAGTCAGCAAGTGACACACAATTTATAAGGCATGTCCATGTAAGAATTAGCACAGAATAACTACAGAGCCAAGAAGTATACCCTGCAAAAAATATCAACGCACCACAGAAAACGACAGAGGCCAAATGAGAAGTATGGAGAAAGAACACTTAAGGGGTCTGGAACTGGAATTGTCCTGGCAGGCTTGAGGGAATAAGAGGCATTTAAGGTGAACTTCTGGATAAGAAAAGAAAATGGGAGACCGAGGGAGGATATTGAGGAACAGTGTGAGATGAGCAATGATATGAAACTCAAAAGGTGGCCAGGCGCAGTGGCTCACACCCGTAATCCTAGCACTTTGGGAGGCCAAGGCGGGAGGATCACCTGAGGTCAAGAGTTTGAGATCAGCTTGGCCAACATGGTAAAACCGCATCTCTACTAAAAATACAAAAATTAGCTGGATGTGGTGGTGCACGACTGTAGTCCCAGCTACTGGGGAAGGTGAGGTGGCAGAATCACTTGAACCTGGGAGGCAGAGGTTGCAGTGAGCCAAGGTGGCAGCATTGCACTCCAGCCTGGGCAACGGGGGAGACTGTCTCAAAAAAAAAAAAAAAAAAAAAAAAATCAAAAGGCAGGAGAGTGAATGAGGGTCACTAGGGAAGGAGACTGGGAGGGGAGTCAAGACTGCCAGGCTGGGGCCAGCCACAGGGAATTGCCATGGCTGGGTCTGGATCTCACCCTCCAGACCAAGGGTCCCTAAACTTGGTTGCTTACTATTAGTAAAAGAAAAAAAAAATTTTTTTTTTTGAGACAGAGTCTTGCTACATCATCCAGGCTAGAGTACAGTGGCATGATCTTGGCCCACTGTAACCTCCACCTCCTGGGTTCAAGCAATTCTCCCGCCTCAGCCTCCTTAGTAGCTGGGATTACAGTCATGCACCACCACATCTGGCCAATTTTTGTATTTGTAGTACAGACAGGGTTTCGCCACGTTGGCCAGGCTGGACTTGAACTCCTGACCTCAAGTGATCTGCCTGCCTCGGCCTCCCAAAGCGCTGGGATTATAGGCGTGTGCCACTGCACCAGATGTCTATCAGCAAAATATTTTTTAACACATCACCAACATATGTACATTAATTTATTTATTAAAGTATGCACATTCTATGTACAGTATCCTGCTTATTCTTGCAACAAGCTTGTGAGTTAGGCACTTTTACCATCCCCATGTTACTGACAGGGAACAAGGTACTTACCCAAAGTCACAGAGGTAGTAAGTGATAAGGTAAGAAAAGAAAGAAACAACAACAATAACAGAAGCCTAGGACGCATCCAGGCCTACACTAGAATTGAAGTCATAGGAAAACAAAAAAGAAAGAATTTACAGGGCTCGGCACCCCATTAGATGTGATTTTGAAAGGAAAGGAGAGGAAATAAACACCATTCTGAGATTTCACGATTTCAAGGTGAGTAGGAAGGTGATGAAGGTATAGAGACGCTACATCAAGGGTCCCGCTAATGGGAATCATAGAATGTTATTTAATTACCAAATTATTTAACTCTCCTGGGGTGTTTTGCAAACATGTTATCAAATAGTCAAATATAAATAAAAGGGGAGAGAGTAAGGAGAAAGACTACTAGATGCAAACCACAGAGAGCAGGGGATACTCTGCGGGTAGGGCGGGTGGATGATGAATATTCAAGAGGCCAACTTTCTTTACCATCTATCAAGGGCTGCAGGTGCTGCAGCCATAGCTATAGGTACAAGGAGAAGTAGCTCCAGGGATGTCTGAGCTCTTCAGGGAAGAGAAATTTCTACCCTGTTCTAGAGAAGGGAGTCCTATAGGTGATAGAAAGATAGATTAGAGGATCATCCGTATTTTCTTGACAGTATCTGTCCAAAAAGGGAATATAATGTCACTGAAGATAGCAAAATGGAGTCAGCAAACCAAGATAGATGTTATAAAAAGAAAATCCATGGGTAAGAGAGAGAAAAGACCACATGACCTCTTCAGTCTCTCTCAACTCTAATATTCCAGGATGTTACAAGGCTATCTAGAATACACTCATGAAAAGGAG